AGACCACAGATGTCTCTCACAAAGAGCAGGTATCCTTTGTAGTTCGCTATGTAAGTGACATGGAAATAAAGGAGTGTTTTCTACAGGTCTGCACTCTTGAGTCCACAACAGGAAAAGAGTTGGAGAATGTTGTCATCTCTCTCCTTCAAGACAATAGACTTGACTTGAAGAACATCAGGGGCCAGGGATATGATGGAGCTGAGAACATGAGTGGAATGTACAAAAGTCTACAGTCCCGGATACGTGCACACAATGAAAAGGCTCTTTATGTTCATTGCCAGGCACACTGCTTGAATCTGGTACTAGTTGAGAGTGCCAAGTCCAGTGTTCACTTTGTGACATTTTTCTCCTTGGTGGAGAAACTGTATGTTTTCTGCACCAGCTCCACAAAGAGGCATACAGCATTTTTAAAATGCCAGCAGTCCTTGTATCCTGGTCAGCGTGTTGTTGAGTTGCAGAAGTTGTCTGACACTCGGTGGGCCTGCAGAGAAAGATCCCTGAAAGCCCTCAATAAAGTTCTGAAAGCTTTAATCAAGCTTCTGACAGACATCAGTGAGTCAGACCCACCTGACACAGCTGCTGGTGATGCAAAGATGTACCTGAGGGCTATCGACTTTGAATTCCTTCTTTGCTTAGAAATCACCACCACAGTCTTCCAGGTAACTGTCAGAAGAACATGCATTAATGATTATTATTATTTTCATTATTATTATTGAGTATATCTTTTTATTACCATTCTTTTATAAAGTATTTTAAACTGTGGTAATGAAGTAGCCATTTTTATTTCATCAGGAAAACTATTCCACAACTGAACACCTTTATTTGATGGGCAGTTACTACTTAATTTAGTTCTACAATATGGTTTGTTAAACATATATGTCCCTCTAAGTTCATAATTACTTTCCCTTACGTTGAACATAGCTTGCAAAGACTGAGGGAGAGTTTGTTGTTTTGCCTTATAAAAAAGTTTAGCAGTACACAAGTCTACCAAGTCATAAAATTTTAATGTTTTCAACTGAATAAACAAAAGATTTGTTGGGGTATTATATGGAGACTGTGTAATTAATCTGATGACCTTTTTTTGTAATAAAAAAACTGGAGTAGAACATAGAGAGATATTGTTTATACATGTATGTGCATCCATGTGCATTTCATTGGGGGCTCTGCCTTCCTCGTCACCATGTGAATCACTGAGGACTTTGTTTAAGGTTAGGTGTTAGGAATTAGCGTTAGGCAAGTATTGGTTATGGTTAAGGTTAGAGTAAGTCTCCAGGAAATGAATGTAAGTCAATGTAAAGTCCCCATGAGAAATGAAAATAAACTTGTGCGTGTGTAGATACTACACTGTGGAGGTTAGCCCAGGCTTCAGTGGTACTGGAGACCTATTTTAATTCTTAACTAGATGCCCATGATTTATTAATCTGCATTTGAAATAACAATTACCATGTCAGAAGACATCAGGCCAAAGCCTTAATTGCAATGGAAACACACTTGATATAGAATTTGCACCAACCAAAGCACAAGCACGGCATCCCCTACAGACCGGAGAAGACGCCTCTCTTTCTGCATCCGTGACTGTGCATTATACAGCATGTATGAAATCTGAGCATGAATATAAATGCTGTTTCTGCATGAACTTGTTTGAACATAACTTTATCCTGTATATGTCCTAGGTTTGTATACTTTATGTTATTTGTTGTCATATGTGTAGTCTCATCCTAACCTTCATTCCCCTTCTTCAGTTCCCTGTGTTCTTTGAAAGAGTTTTTGGTTAGATGCCTGAAATAAGCATGACTCAAATGATGCAGGAGGACACACATACAGTAGGGATGCATTCCTAAATGGTGCTGTAAAGTATCATAGTGTCTTTCTTGAAAATCCTGATGCCTTATACTCATGGATGGATTATGAGACAATGGGCCTCAGACATGTAAATGGCTCCTACTTCTCCTATACTTACAGGAGCAAAACTCATAGATTGAGCAACCATGTGATTTATAGTCAGTATGTGCCATTGTGTGGTTGTTTTGTTTCCCTTTTATTGTTGTTTTGCATCAGTTTTATTTTATTTTTTGTGATTTTGCATTTTTTTCTAATTGTGTGGCTTTTTTTTTTTGTTCTTTTCAAGTTCAGTAATCCATCCATGCTTACACTTTAATGTGTGTTGAAATGTAGGAGATGACATGCAACACGTATCACATCCTGAAAAACAAAAATCTTCTCCTACTCAGTGTAACACTGTTAGATTGAGGAAATACCTAATTTGGGCAATTTAGTTAGGATTCATCTGTACAAGGATTACTCACTATCACTTAGTGGCCCTTAAATAACTATTTCCTTGTACATCCTTAGTGCATGGCTGCTAATGGCATCTATAATGAGCCTGACCTGTAGGCCTTGTATAATTTAAAGAGCCTGTTAAGTGATTCAGTGATTTTAAAGGTAATCTTTAAAAGCCACGTAAAGCTCGGAGAAGGTTGGTGGGAGGTGTGTGAGAGCAGGGAGTTAGAGACGCAGAGCTTTTAAAGAGTTGGAGAAGAGCAGCTGCACTGAGACTTTTCAATGAGTTGCTCATGATCTATCACAGTTTTGTATTATCCATACAGTACTCTCTCAAAGAGGGCGCAGTGGTATGTCTCCACTTTCAAAATATGGGTGTGTGTGTAAGCCTCTGTTTGCTTTTCTGTCACTTGCTCACATACTTCAACACACACATATATACTCAGAAACACTCAAATACCCCCTTTTCTCATAACTCTTTTTTCTGTCTGTCTATGCTTCTGAAGGAATTCTCCATCCATCTAATTCCCCTCCTGGTTCTTTCATATTGAGGCTGGGCCCCACTCGTATTCCATGTCAAAGGGTTTCTCTTTTATTGAACATCAAATCCTCTGTGTCTTGCCTGGCACTTTCTTCTCCCTGCTTGGCACCATGCATATTCAGCAGCCAGCAGCCGTGCTATAAGGCTGGCTAGTCCTCCAAAATCCACGACTATGGGCATTAGCGTTGCAATAACACTACATGAATAGCCGACATGCTCTATATTTAGGTGTTAAGTCAAATGTGCTGTAGCCAGGAACAAAGCTGCTGGATGGAAGAACATGGAGGAAAGCAGACATTCTCTTCTGGTGCTATCCTTTTTATTTTTTTCTTTCTCTCTGTCTGCTTCACAGGTCTTCTTTCTTGGCTCTGGAGGCGGCACTTGGTGTTCACAAGTTCCAGCAAAGCTTGGGATGTTTTGCAGTAAGGAACCACCCACCCCACTGTGACACTTTGCATACTGACTTGAGCACTACTGCTGACTTGAATGGAAAAACGAAAAATTGCTGGATTTTGGTCTCATAGTGTCAGAAATAAAAACACCAGTGGAGACAGTATAAAAACAAGTCAATTGATTCTCTGCAGCTTAGTTATTTTTTCATTTAGTTTATCCAAATTATTTATGGTGTTACTCATATGCACTAAGAGACATCATATGGTGTTTGTATTCTCATTATTAGAAAATAGAGCAAATACTCACTCCTTATAAATTAAGATCTTGATCTTTCAAAGACTTGTGTTAGCAGATAGTTTGAGACACTCCTACTGTTTATTTGTATTTATTTATTTTAATATCATTAATTTGCAGTGTTTCTAACAAACACAAAAACAAAGCAATAGGACTGCCAGAGTCCATGAATATGAGCTGTTTTTATTTATTGTATATTACAGATGTCCTGTAATATCTCATCACAAAGGTTTTTACATTTGGAAACACTGACATTTTGCTTTGTTTATTTATTTACACATATGTGAAAACCTCTGGACATGCAAGAAAAACAAATAAAACAAAACCCAAAGTCAAACAAAAACAAACACAATCAAAAAAACGTATCCCTCCTGTCCTAGAATGTATATATAGTGCCAAATGATAGTATCTGTAAGTAAACGTAGGTATATCTGACCTGCCTAGTTAACACATACAGTCAAACCTTTGTTTTATAACATGCTACAACTGTTCACTATTTAACATCCATTATAATGTGCATGTTTTCCAATATCTCTCTTTTTCTCGGTGTGAGTGTCTTTTCCTTTCCCAAGTATTTTACAATCTCTTTGCTTATTTTACATTTGTCTTAGCAAAATATTGTTGCAGTCTTTTCCCACTGTTTTCTGGCCTCCATTCAGGTCTCATTTCATCTGATGTAAAATGCAGAAGAGGACAGAAACAGATGGAATGGGAGACAGAGAGGAGCTTCCGGCAAACTGGACCTGAAAGGGAACAAGGGGAATCCAGCAATCAGTAGAGGATGGAAAGAAAGGATGGACTGAGTGGCAGGGCCTAGACAGTACACATGCATGGAAAATTAACAGAAGAGTGGGAGGGAGAGATTAGGCAAATGTGGAGGGAGAAAAGGAATGGATGGATGAGGGAGGGAAAGAATGGAGGATGAAACTGATGGAGAAACAAAATAGTAAAACAGAAGGAGGCAAGGAGGGAGAGAAGGAGGGAATTATAATAGGTAGGAATCAAGGGGATGAAGAAAAGAAAAGTCAGCAAGGCAGAATAGTTCAGTGAATGGAGACACTACTTCAGGACAAAATGAGAGGAAGGAAGAAATAGAGTAGGAAGGAAAGTGCAAAATGAATTTGAGAAAGGTGGAAAGGAGAGAGAGAAGAACTCCGATATACGAATAGAATGAGGGAAAAATTAAAAAGAAAGGAAATAAAAATAGCAAAGTAGAACTGGGAACAAACAAAGAAATCGGAAAACGTGAGAAAGAAATAAAAGGGAACAAAGAGCAAATCAGAAAAAGAAAGCAAGTTTAAAGAGAAAAAATAAAACAGTAGAAGAGGTGGATTTAAAAATGATAAAGTGGTAGATAAGAATGGAAGAAGATGAATATTATAGAATAGAAAAAAATAGTAAAAAGAGAATCAGTGAATGGGCACAGAAGGATGATGAGGAAAGATAAATGGGTGTAAGCATAAATGGAGGGAAGGAGGAAACTATGGCAGATAAGGAAGGAAAAAGGAAGGGGGGTGTACAGCAACCTGGCATGCCTTTTTATTTCTAGTGAGTAAATAATGCATCCAGCACAGTCTATAATTTATGTAAGTGGACATAGAATCAGTTCGGATTAACGTGCATGGGGTTCCTGTGTGTGTGTGAGGCACATGGAAAAAAGACAAGAAGTTACTGATTTTTTTCCTAGTGTAGCTCTTCCTTCCTTTGTCTGTTTTTGTTCCAGCTTTTACTCATTAAAGGAACAATCCCCAGCATTTTCACAATTAAAAGACATATTTTGTTTTTCTTTTAAATCTACAGGTAGATTAAAACTCAAGGCTTTCTCCCTTACAGTAGCAAGGCTCTGTACCTCTAAAAATAGTTACTAGTTAACAGTATAGCGAGACATGAATTATCATGATTTTGCATTATCACTGACAGATGTAGTGTCACATAACTGTAAAATAGACATTGATTAAACGTTGCATTGTTGTACATGTTACATTCTTCATTTTATTGTCAGGAATGCAGGCACTATGCGTGATTTGACTGGTGTATCTTGCAGTCAGCCGGCATATCAGTCTTGTGATCATAATGACCTATCATGTTTATCAGTTACTCAATGAAACTGAGCTCAGCTAGGCACCAGTAAAACTTGCTAGTTAATTTCACAGCCACTTGACACTGGGTGGAAGAATAATGATCAGGAAGCCTGAATCTGTTTCTGTTCTGGGTGTGCTATCTGACTGGGAATAGAATACACTGATTGGTCATATAATTGGTTTACCATTTTGCTCTTGGGCATATCTTTTGTCTCTTAAGTGACAAATGCAGATAGTAAAAATTAGATATCAAATAGATTAACATGAAAACACAGTGCATACCTGGATGATTAGACTGTTGGCTCACCATGGTCAGCTCAGATCTAGCAAACTATAAATGATCAAGCTAGCTAACTTGTTTGAAGAGTGTACTATTTCAAATTATACTGTTTAGCTTAGCTAGTTTAGCACTGTAAAACCACTGTGTTACATACAGTTACATTTTAGTAGCACTTCAGCAAGTCAGACCACTAATGTCACTGTTCCACTGCCGCTGGGAACCAAGCCATACTCAAACCAGCTGGCTGCCCACAGTACACGTTTCCATTGCACAGTGTGAGCGCTGCTGTTGCAGAGCACGTCATGGTGCCATCTTCAATGTAACCAGAACAGACATCAACAGTAGATGTGCCATAGAGCAAGCATGGATATTGCTGACTTTTTCCCTCTACAAATCAGAATGCAGTGACATAGAAGACCAGGTGAGGGGCAGAGTAGTGCACACTGGGACCTGTTTATGAGCAGGGGCAGACGTCCTGCTTTTCAGCCCAGTTTCAGCCTTAGTATGGTCCATTTCTGGGACAATCTAAAAACGCAACCTTGACAGTTGGGACATATTGATATACTGTACATTTGCCACATTTGGAGCACTGAGCACAATAACCTACCTTGGGGTATCTCATGATGAACTGGCAGTTTACCTATTTACCTACAAAGACAGGGTGTTGTGTGTGTGTGTGTGTGTGTTGGGGGGGGGCACTTTTGCCTGTGAACTGCTGCCATGAAATAACACATAAATGCAATGAATACAATAATCCATCCATCCATCCATCCATCCATCCATTTTCTTCCGCTTATCCGGGACCGGGTCGCGGGGGCAGCAGTCTAAGCAAAGATGCCCAGACCTCCCTCTCTCCAGACACTTCCTCCAGCTCCTCCGGGGGAATGCCGCGGCGTTCCCAGGCCAGCCGAGAGACATAGTCCCTCCAGCGTGTCCTGGGTCTTCCCCGGGGCCTCCTCCCGGTGGGACATGCCCGGAACACCTTCCTAGGAAGGCGCCCAGGAGGCATCTGAAACACATGCCCGAGCCACCTCAGCTGGCTCCTCTCGATGTGGAGGAGCAGCGGTTCTACTCTGAGCTCCTCCCAGGTGACCGAGCTCCTCACCCTATCTCTAAGGGTGCTACCCCACCCTTAGCAACAGCAATAATGTGGTAAATAATTCACAGGAATATGTCTTTGGAACATATTATCTGTTTTTCTAAGAAAAGTCACTCTTTTAATTGACTGTTACAGTAGCAGCAGGATTTTCTGTCCTTATTAGTGACCACATTTATATTACATGTAGTCATTAGATTCAGTCTCTCACTATGCGAAAGTCAACAATTCTTTTGAGAATCAAGGAGTGTCAAGGGGTAAATCTTTTTCTGCCTGTTTTTGTGAAATATAAAATCTATTTCTTTATATTAATTTCCCTGTACCAATTGAAATATCAACTAAATAATAATACTTCATAATTTTCTGACAATATGTTCTCTATAAGTTTGGGTATAGGAGTCAGTTCTGATAACTGGTTGTCATTTAAACCTCTTTATTTTACCATCAACAAAATCTAAAACTTTACAGTGACCCCATCAATGATACAACACTTTATATGGATTCAAACACATTCAAACTTCCAGAACAGCTCCTAATCAGATGATTTGTTTTTGAAGAAAATTCATTGTGAAACAACAAAAACCATAAATTATGTAATTTAATAAATGAAAGTATGACCTCTATTCTAGAGGTTTTAACTCGCTGGTATCCGAGATAAAGCAGCCCAGGAATAATTAATATATTCTTTAGTTCAGAAAGAAAGAAAAAGAAAAGATTGTTGTGAAAAATGCTCTTTTGGCTGAGCTGTTTGAATGACAGTACCTGACAGGCTCACCTCTGCTGGTAAACAGACTTGCTCTGCAACCTACTGTGCATGTAATGGACAGTAGTGTTAGTGGTATTTAAAAATAAAGACTACATCAGCATCAAACAGACTAAAGTAACATTTGCAAGAAAGTTTACCATCTGTTTAATGCACTGCAGCTGAGTAGCTAATTGGCTAACTAGCTTGTAAACTGGTGTTAGTAGTGAACAGGCTAAGGCACAGGACAAGTTGTGTTCACATGCTGTAGTGAAATAAGGTGTCCATCTTCCTAGCTGCAAAAGAGACATCAATGCAAAACTAGGGTGAGCCATTTTGAAATGAAAAATCTCTCTCTTTTTTTGGTTTCTGAAAACATAGTAATTGTAAATGAATTACATATATTTTCTCAGTAACTAAGAGATTACAATTACATTTATTTTCCAATTTAATTACAGTGACTTGATACATGTAACTAGTTACTCCCCAGACTTGCATTAAAACATAACTATTTTATATTATTCCTAAGACTACGACTGTATTTTCCTACACTTGTGGCCTTTGCACAGTGGAAAATACATCACTTCACCTGAAGGTGATGAGGTAGTCCGGGTAGGCTTGATTATCTTGAAACACAACGTATAGGTCTGGTTGGTGTATTTGGTCCACCACACTGTCATAGAGGTCATGGGGCTGCTGGTAACTGCGAGGAGGAGGCACCTTCATGCTTTTGTGGCCTGCATCGTAGACACCAGTCAGTTAAATATATAAATAAATGGTTTCAATGTCATTTTAAATTGTTATATGTATAAAATTTCTACAAAGGAAGTTTTCTTTTATTTATTTCTGCATTTTTACATTTCCACATTTATTTATTTCTGTATTTGTATGCTAATGCGGTGGGTGGTTCTAACCCCACCCTAAAGCAGGATTGGTAAACTGGGAGCACCAGACAGAAGCAAACGATTCCCAGCAAGTAGTACTTGTACAAGACACGCGCGTAAACCAAGCTAATCTTCTCTCGGAGGGAAACTGAGTGGCACCGGCAATGGCTTCGACAGGGAGGCCGCTGGCAGACCTGGTACGGGATGTAGCTAACCTGCTTGAAAACTAAGTTATTTATGTTTATATCTGCTGTTTAACCAGAAACGGCAGTTGTTTAACATTAGCTAAATACTACAAATTCAAATGTGAGTATTTAAACAAACGAAGATACTGACTGCTCACTGTTTTGCAGCACCAGGAATCATGACCGCACCAAGTTCAGCTCTGCCACCGTCAAACAGCGGGACACCCAGACATCCAGTGGATGCTATGTTTCTACCGTTAATAGTTTGTGATGCTAGTTCCCATTTATGGATTCAATTAATAAGCTATCATCAGTAGCCAGTGATGTATTCTGTATCATTCTACACAGACTATGCTCATGTTAGCTAACATACTGTGTTTACCTTGTAACTATAGTCTTTTAAGTTGTATTACTTTATTGATTAACTTATAGCCTGTCCTCCTTACATAATCCCAGCCGAGGTCGCAAGACTGTTTGGTCCATACACACATAGAGGGAGAAGAGTGACAAGGCGGTGATCCTGTGCTGTCCCTGCACAACTTTATTCTTACACCCATTCCTTCTGCTGTCTTGAAAACAAAAATGCGGACTTAGTCCCCAGTCGATACGCCAAAGAGAGGCTTGCTGCTGTAGGGCTAGGGGGAAAACGACTAACATTTCAAGGTATGCAAAATATGATGAGTACTGACTTTTTTTTTAACCTGTTAGCAGACTTCCACTGATATTGGTTAATTTCTGTGAACATGTTAGCAGACTTCTTATGGCCCACTGCATATTAATCAATGATTCAGTGATACTGAGTTATCTTAAGAACTTTAAACTGCCACTGCTGTTGGTTAATTGCTATGAATATGAGAAAAGGTTATTTGAATTCTCTCCTCTCTTAAGGTAGTCATACAAATCCAGATGAGTTCAGAGAATTAATTTTAGAAGCATATCCCAAACTCAGACAAGGGGGTGGATTTGAA